ACGCCCGGCTGGGAAATTTTTAGAATAAAAATGTTACCATATTTTGGCTGGGCACAGTGGCTTACGCCTCTTATCTCAGCACTTTGGGAGGCCAAGGTGGGCTGATCATGAGGTCAAGAAACCAAGACCATCCTCGCCAACATGGTGAAACCCTGTATCTACTGAAAATACAAAAATTAGCTGGGCGTGGCAGCGCAGGCCTGTAGTCCCAGCTACTTGGGAGGCTGAGGCAGGGCTTGCAGTGAGCTGAGAGGTGTCACCACTGTACTCCAGCCTGGCGACAGAGCGGGACTCTGTCTCTCAAAAAAAAAAAAAAGCATATTTCAGTATGAGATGTTTAAAATAAAATGGAGTGATGACTGCCTTTTGAAGTGTGTTTTCTTAATCATTCAACACCTGTAAAATTCCCACCCCATTTCACTCTCAAGTTTCTACTCAGAAAATTGAGGCCAGAGGCCAGGCCTAGTAGCTCACACCTATAATCCCAGCACTTTGGGAGGCTGAGGCAGGCGGATCATCTGAACTCAGAAGTTTGAGACCAGCCTGGGCAACATGGTGAAACTCTGTCTCTAGCAAAAATACAAAAAATTAGCCAGGCATGTTACTCAGGAAGCTAAGGCGGGGAGATCACTTGAGCCTGGGAAGTGGGAGTTGCAGTGTACTGAAATGGTGCCACTGCACCTGGGTGACAGAGTGAGACTCTGTCTCACAAAACAAAAAGAAAAAAAGACTGAGGCCAGGCCTGTTGTGGTGGCTCATTCCTGTAATCCCAGCACTTTGAAAGGCCTACGCGGGAGAATCACTTCAGCTCGGGGGTTTGAGACCAGCCTGGGTAACATAGACCTCACACCAAAAGAAAAAAAAAATTGAAAATTGAGGCCAGCATGTATAATCCCATGTATTGTTTCTGCATGCTTACATGCATTCCAGTTATACTTACTTTTGCCTTCTTTCAGTTGAGATAGAGGTGATTCTTATACATGATCAATTTCATTACCACCTGTGCACATGTCCTTATCTCTCACCTTCTTAAGAGCCACCCATGTTTCATCAGTTTTTCACTTCCAGATTTTTCAACTATTGTCTCTGCTAGATTCTTTCCTTCATCATAGCTTAGTGCATAATAAGTATACAAATGTTGAGTGTTAACAAGTTAAGAATCTGGGACTAGGCCAAGTACCATGGCTCATGCCTGTAATCCCAGCACTTTGGGGAGCCAAAGCAGGAGGATTGCTTGAGGCCAGGAGTTTGAGATGAGCCCAGGCAATGTAGTGAGACCTCCTCTCTCCAAGAAATTTATGGAGCATTAGCTGGGCTGTGATGGCAAGAGCCTGTAGTCCTACCTACTTGGGAGGCTAAGGTGGGAGGATTGCTTGAACCCCGGCGTTTAAGGCTGCAGTGAGCCAGGATCACGCAACTGCACTCCAGCCTGGGCAACAGAGTGAGACCCTCTCTCAAAAGAAAAAGAATTTGGGGCCTAGCATTAGAGCCCTGAGTTTAAGTCCCAGTGTTATCTGGAACAATTTAGTTAGCTTCCCTAGACCTCAATTTCTTGAACTGTAAGAGTAAATTATACCTACTATCATGGAGTTTTGATAATTTTACGTTCTGTAAAAAGCCTGTTGCATAATATCTGGCATAAATGGACTTAATGCTTTCTGTACACGGACAAAAAAGATGCATAAAGATAATCACATACTTATTTTGGAAGAAGAGACTTTGGAAAGAGAACAATGGCAGGAGACACTTGGGAAATAGGGCCATATCATAAACGCTGTAGTAGATAAAAGCATATGGAATATAAGTGATTATATTAGGACCTTAAGTTATTGGTATTTAATTTAATTATTTTGTTACTATTTTCTAATTCAAAGGAAACACATTTTTTCACTGTAAAGAGTGACTAAAGTGAGTAGTATAAATTGATTAGAATTTTTTAAAGGACTACCGAAATTATATAATTAATGTCCATCGAACTCTGAAGTAAACATTAGTTAACAGTAGAGGAAAACCAGAGTGGATATCAGGTATCACAAAAAATAATTTGAAAAATTTACTTGTGCTATTTTATTGTAGTAAAATGCAAAAATCATAACATACTAGAACTTTTTCTTTTCTGTCTCCTTACAGGTTCATTGGCATGGATAAATGTTCAGTGGGAGGATTAGAATTGACTGAACAGACTCCTGCTTTATTAGGGAATATGGCCATGGCAACTAGTCTCATGGACATAGGGGATTCATTTGGTCATCCAGCTTGTCCTTTAGTTAGTAGACCTAGAAACTCACCAGTGGAAGATGATGATGATGTTGTATTTATTGAATCTATACAACCTCCTTCAATTTCTGCTCCAGCAATAGCTGATCAAAGAAACTTCATACTTGCGTCATCAAAAAATGAAAAGCCACAAGGAAATTATTCTGTAATTCCTCCTCCTTCAAGAGATTTGGCGTCTCAGAAAGGAAATATAAGTGAGACAATTGTTATTGATGATGAAGAGGATATAGAAACAAATGGAGGAGCGGAGAAAAATTCTTCCTGTTTTATTGAATGGGGACTTCCTGGAACTAAAAACAAAACCAAAGATTTGGACTTCTCCACTTCCAGTCTTTCAAGAAGTAAGGTAAATGCAGGAATGGGTAATAGTGGTATCACTACAGAATTGACTCTGAAATACGTTATTACTAATGTTACAACCTTAGAAACAGGTATAAGCTCTGTGAATGCTGGGCAAGATATGAACATAATGATTACATATAAAACATCACTATAGAATACCAACTTGGGAGATGTCGCTAAAGGACTTCAGTCAAGTAATTTTGGTGTTAATATACAAACGTACACCCCATCTTTAACTCCACAGACCAAGACTGGAGTAAGACCTTTTAACCCTGGTAGAATGAGTGTGGCAGGAGACTTATTTCAGAATGGAGAATTTGCAACTCATCATAGTCCTGGTAAGCAGTAAGTGATATTTCTACCTCAAGTAAATAAACATTTGGCTGTTCTTTTTACTGCTCATATCTATTTTATTCACATTCTCTGACTTTGTTTTTGTTTGTTTGTTTGTTTGTTTTCGGAGACCAAATTTCGCTCTTGTTGCCCAGGCTGGCTGGAGTACAGTGGCGCGATCTCAGCTCACTGCAACCTCCGCCTCCCAGGTTCAAGCAATTTTTTTTTTTTTCCTGCCTGAGCCTCCTGAGTAGCTGGGATTAAGTTTTTATGTTTTTGGTAGAGACAGGGTTTCACCATGTTGGCCAAGCTGGTCTTGAACTCCTAACTTCAAGTGATCCACCTGCCTTGGCCTCCCAAAGTGCCGGAATTACAGGCATGAGCCACCGCTCCCAGCCTTTGACTTTCATATTAAGATAGAATATTTTACTTAATAAAACTGTATGGTTTACTTGGTCTCTGAAACTTTGAAATTTTAATCTATTTTATCCAGTATGATTTACATCTAAAGTATTTCAATTGAAATACTTTACCTTCTTTAGCCTTCTTTCTTTGTATAAAAATCAAAGGATAAAGATACAGTGAAATGAAAGAACAAAGTAATATATAATGATTGGATTTTACTTTATTTGTAATTATTTAAAATTTCAATTTTTGCTTAAGTTTTTATTTTTAGGCTGTTTTTATCCCTGATTTTAGTTTGTATTTATTTGTTTATTTATTTGAGACAGAGTTTCGCTCTCTTTGCCCAGGCTGGAGTGCAGTGGCGCCATCTTGGCTCACTGCAGCCTCTGCCTGCTGGGCTCAACTGATTGTTCTGCCTCAACCCCTCAAGTAGCTGGGATTACAGGCGCGCCCGTCTCCACATCTGGCTAATTTTGTTTTTTTAGTAGAGACAGGATTTCTCCATGTTGGCCAGGCTGGTCTCAAACTCCTAACCTCGGGTGATCTGTCCACCTCAGCCTCCCCAAGTGCTGGGATTACAGGTGTGAGCCCCTGCACCTGGCCTGATTTTAGTTTTTAAGTTGGCGCTTTATTATTTGCTTAATTCTGAAAGTTGGAAAACTTTCTTGCCTTTAAATCAGGGAACTGTATTTTTAGAACTTACATGGATAGTCCTATTCTGATATAATTAAAATAT